AGTCTCGCTCATCAGCGGGGGTACGCTTTCTTTAACCATCCTTTTCCGGCTGATATACCTGTAGAATCCCTTATTATTATTCTTTGCATCCCTAGCCAAGTTTAGCTCCAGCTGTGCCTTGGCCTTCCTGACCCCATTCCTACACAACTGGACCGTGTCCCTGTACTCTTCCCAGGATGCCTGTCCCTGCTTCCACTGCCTGTGGAAGGAAGAGGGCTTCCTTCTTAGTTTGACCAGCATCTCTCGTCTCAGCCATGCTGGTCTCTTCCCTTCCTTGCCCGAATGTGTTTGGAATGTGTTGTCTTCTAGAAGACTTATTTTTCAGATACAGATGCACACTACATTAAACAGTACATGTTTTTCAGCATATACCTCTTTGGGTTGTTTTTTTTTTTTTTCCCTTAAGGCGAAGAAGTGCATCTTATTTCTTGCTTTGCCACAGAAAGATTCATAGGTGAGTTGAAAAGATTTAATTTAGAAATCTAAAAAAAAAGAACTGGAAAACATTTAATTTTATGATTTAAATATGCAAATTGATCCAAGTTCAAATTGGTGTGATTTGATTCAAATTCAGATACATGCTGTGAAGTAACAACGCGTGTGTCTGATCATATTAGGAACTGATCTATTGTCCATTGGTTTACGAAGTACTTGAAGGCTTACTTTAAAAAAAAAAAGAGCCAATTTCGCTATACATGGCTGTATATGGTGAGGTCATGGCCTTCAGATGTTTCTGTGACTCTTCTACAGTTTTGAATCAAATCATTTAGTCGTTACACCTTTTTTCTTCCCCCTCCCCCAGGATGTGAATTCTCTGTAATTCTGCTCTATATCCCTATCCGCCGTCTCTTATTCTGGTGTTTATTAGCCACCGCTTTCTGTAATGCGTGATGCAATGTACCTTCTGATAGAAAACACTCTTGTTTTCTTGCTTTTAAGTGAAGGCAAAGCTTAAACTTAGAACAAGATAACTTACTGTTTATGTGGTCTGTAACAGTAAATTAGTTTTCAAAGTGATGGAAAAAATACTTTAAATCTGCACCCCAGCTTTTTAGTTGTTAATATTTTTAAGTCACAAGCCTATACTAATAATTTAAATTCATTCTGAATGCCACTGTGTGGTGGGTTGACCCTGGCTGGAAGCCAGGTGCCCACCAAAGCTGCTCTATTACTCCCCTGCTCAGGTGGACAGGGAAGAGAAAATATGAAAGGCTCATGGGTCGAGGTAAGGACAGGGAGAGATCACTGACCAGCTACCATCACGGGCAAAACAGACTTGACTTGGGGAAATCAGTTTCTTACCCATGAAATCAGAAAAGGATAATGAGAAATAAAAACTGAATCTTAGAACACCTTCCCCCCACCTCTCCCTTCTTACCAGGCTTAACTTTACTCCCGATTTTCTCTATCTCTTCCCCATCAGTGGCTCAGGGGAATGGGGAATGGGGGTTGGGGTCAGTCCATCCCACGCTGTCTCTGCTGCTCCTTCCTCCCTCCCAGCCTGCGGTCCCTCCCATC